GCGGGAGTGGTGATAGTCACATACATCGTCGATGTGTGTGTGCGTTCCATGTGTCCTCAAATTGTGAAAGCTTACAGCCCCCCCCCTACAAGGTTATTAGCGAATAAAGCAGTGTTCACCATTTTCTACTAGGGATGCGCCACACACTTACTCCACGCAGATTCGCAGTGATTTTGAAGATGATTTGGACCATACAATCAAATTTGCTTACAAGTCGATGGGAAAGTCAGTGTTTCCGTCGTCCTAGTCTTTTCTGGCACCCTTATGACATCACCAATTGTATGGAGGACTTTGTTGATCCTGGCAGTAGTCAGTCCGAGTTCTGACCCGAGGAAGCAACCGGTACTGGCAGCGCTTTCCTCCACATAACTTTGGCCCCTTGTTCGTCTTCCTAGCCTCAAAAGCTGATTGTTCGTGGTTCATTCGGGTTGCGGATCCTCACAGCAACAAAAGGTATTAAGGCAATCACTATATTGGCAGTATCTTTTCAGCTGGCCTCACCTGTCAACTTTACTGATCATATCCAACCGATTTGTGTCTCAAAGACGATGAATCCTGTAGAAGATAACCAATCTGGTTACGTGACTGGTTGGGGAGTTACTAAAGGTGAATTCTTTGTTTCGTTAGTAGACTCCAACTTTCACTTGTATATTCTAGAAGGTGGATCGGTATCTAGTAAGCTTCGACAAGTGATGGTGCCGTTTCTGAGTCCAAAGGAATGTGAAATTGAGTACAAAGGTGAAATCGACGGGACGATGGTTTGCGCAGGTCGAAAGGACATCGACAGTTGCCAGGTACCTTCTTTTTTACAAGTCGGTTTCTACGAATTTTCCACCATTTTTTACCGTGTATTCCGATGATTAACGGGTAAATGAACAAATGAATAAACTTATCGAGTTCAAAATTTTCGATTTTGGCCTCCATCCACCGAGGCACCTAACGATGAAGGTACCTCTTACTTTCAGTCGCACTTCTTTCCTGTGCACTACAAAAATTTGATAGGGCTGGTTGGTGTAATTATTCGATTAAGATTTATGCTCAATTTTAGGGAGACTCCGGTGGTCCTTTGGTCATGAAACACAACGATTCAAACCGATGGTACCAAGCAGGAATAGTGAGTTGGGGACGAGGATGTGGTGAAGCTGGACACGCAGGTGTGGCGATTTATCAATTACCTTTTTTTGGGAACCATATCCGACCCTGGAATTTCTGTTGTTCTCTAACTTTCATACTGGTTGTTGTTTACTTTTAGGTGTTTACTCACGACCTGCCGCCTACTGCGACTTTATCGAGAAGTACGCCGGCAAAAATATATGTGTCGATTAAATCTGTTAAAATTATTGTCTGATTTTTGAGAAATAGCCTTTCGTTTCTGTTAAATCTTTGTCTGGAAGAACTCTTTCTGCACAGAACGTTGAAATCGGAAGTTATAATAACTCTTTCTGCACAGAAACGTTGAAATCGGAAGTTATGAATTACAGTTTTGAGAGACAATTTCTCAATCAGCTTTTGGCAGTGCTGTGAGAAGCAGTGATTAAAACCCGTAGAGCCCTATCGTAACTGATCGATCAGTTAAAAAAAATGAAGGTGGAATAACAAGAGCAATGGGAGAGCGATTGGAAGGGGCACACGGTTAGCAGTGAGAGTTTCTTTCCAGCTTCTGGGAGTTGGTTTTTCCTGAATAATAACTCTCAAGATAAGCCTTGCTCAGACTGTCTCAGTTAGCGGTACTTAAGAGGGCACGGTTCGCGATTCAGGTGTTAGAGTCGAAAAACTGGTGTTACGGAGGGTAGTGTGGTCCGCGAGGAACAACCCCTGTACCGATTTCGCGGCAAAAAATTCTGAAGAGAGAGGCCAAAGGGTGAGAGACGTCTCCTTTTTCCACGATGTCTCCGGCTCTAGAGTCCGCCTTCAAGGCTTCTTGCAGTAAAAAAATAAAGCAGCAGGACGGAAAAGCACAAAAATCGTCACTTGTACGGTCGTGGAGTTCTTATCATGTATCAGCTATGCGTATGGGGCGTAGTACTGGAGATGGAGTTAATTGGACGCATAACAAAATTGGGATGCGGAATATGGGGAATCTACTAGGGTTTGCCTGGCGTGTTTTTCTGCTTTTTTTGTTCGCGCTATCGCAGTACCAGAACCTTTGTTCGCTCTATATGCAAACCCTAATCAACTACCCGGGATAGGCGAAATGATCGCGGGGCTTTGCCTTTTAAAAAACTACTAAAAAGCATGCGTTTTGTGTATGGCGACACGGGCGATAAGGTATATAGTGTTGGGTAGGTGGATACCAAGGCAAAAGTTAAACAACAGGCCTTCTTCCCGTAAAAAAAAGATAATAACTTGTATTTCAGTTGTTTTCACGTGTAACTTTGTACTTACTCAGTAATCTTTCTAGTTTAATACGCTGAAATACGATAATACTTGTTACCATGGATTGTTCTACAATAAGCAATTATGCTCTTCGATTCGCTCTGATGGTTTCCTGCTTGGATCGAGTAAACCGGTTGAGTATTTCAGTTTTCGCTCTTGACTTTCCCACTGATTACTGCACTATTTCGTCACGTGCCAGTCTACCTTTAGCATCCGATACGCATGTGATTATTAAGGGTTTTCAATATTTAGTATTTTTTAAATCCGAATATGCTTTGTTGGCGTTAGTAAGGGAAGTGAAAGAAGCTGGCCACTGACCAAAGAGGAATCAGTTGGTGACTCAGTTTGCCTAGATGCTTATCATACACGGATCACGGCATCTTCTATTAGTGTTATCGTGCCCGGGATCGGGGGTTTGATGGCACGAGGATGCGGGTCGCGTCAGCACTTGATGTGGGGGTATGAGTTTCCCTCTGATTTTACGCTGACATCTTGATTCGTCTGGCGTCAGCCTGCACTCGAAATCCCTGACATGTGGTAGGCGTGGCTGCGTACTTCAAGTAAGTGTGGCTGTGGCTGGGCTTTTTGGAGAAATAGTTTCATGATGACACAACTGGCGCGTGTTCTGTTCACAACCAGAATTATCCCGCTAGCAACCAATTCTGCTGCATTTTCGCCAAGGCACGCCCTACTTCCGTTTTATGGATAAGGAGCTAGTACTATGCATTTAGTCACTTACTTTACTTCCATATGATTATGTGGTTGAGTTATGGGCGTTCTAGAAAGATTCTTTGTTGGCATTTTGATCCGCGGGAACCTCTCATGACTCGATTTCCGATCCTTCCAAGCTCCAAGAAAGATAACATTCGTCGCACTTCTGCCTAGCCCTCTATACCTCTTGCCACCTCGTTCGAGTTCGAGTTTCGAATAAACTTTAATATGTACAGTTGTCTTTGCTGCAGATGCTGGGTCGTTTCATGCGACCGAATTGGCCTCGTTTTCCAACGACTGGTGCCGTTTTAACTCTTCAGCAACTTGAACGAACGTGGCGTCACGCCAACCTAACCCTCTTTTTGTCTTAACGAAAACTGTCCAAAATGTCGGAGTTATGCAGAAAGCAGAAGGGCTTTCTACGATCAAGCTCGCCGTGATACTCACAGGACTTTTTTTCACCCCTGGCAATCCCTGAAGTGCGGCAGAAACGAACCTACATGAACATATGCAGCATCACCGCATGAACATCTGCAGCATGCTCTTAATCGTTTGAAATTCGCTTCAAGACATAAAAGTTATAGGGTTAAAAAGAGCGCCCAGCTGCGAGGGCCTTAGGAGTCCAGCGAAAGAACAGCCAGAGTTTTTTTTCGTGATTATAAAGGGTTAATCACGCGGAACGGGGTGCTTCAGGCGGTCGCCAGGCACCCTCTCTCACCCTCCGGTATTACCGATATGTATAGAGTGTAGCGAGATTTAGGAGGACTTGATATAAGGGATACATGGTACTCAAAGTTTTTAGAGCCTCACGATGAGAGGTAGGGAAAGAGAGCATATTCTAAGTCGATTCCTCTTCAACGTGCTTGACTGCGAGTCAGGGCATGACCTTACGTTCAGGAGAACTTTTGCTTAATATTCCCCCCCCCTCTCCCAGAAATTCTCTCCTTCAGTTCTCCAAAACCTTCTAAAACCGACCTTGTCTCAACAAACAAAAGAAGGGACCACAAACTGCGTGGAAGAGTGCGGACGACCAGGACTCGCCAGCTGTCCTTACCTTCAAATCGTGGGAAATGAAAGTAATAGGAAGCGATCCACCTCTATTTCACCTTCTACATCACCAATGAGGACACCCCTACAGTCGTGGTCTTCGCCATCTTAACCCGGGGGATGTAGTCCCTTCAGGACATACTGTCAATCTAATAACCCTCAGGTATCAATATTGTACGGTCCCGGAGGTTCATTGCAATCCGAATACACATAAAAGAGGGCCAAAGAATTTTATCGAGAAAACTCAAAAGATCCAAAAGAATTCAATCAAATAAAATTTACTGTTTCTAATCCTTCCTTAGGCTATTTCGGTGCCTAGCACCTTCTTCAGCGATCTTGACCAGTCAACACTAGAAGGCGCGGCTTTCGCAAGGAGCAGCAGCGGCAGATATTGGAGGCAGCAGACCAAGATCTTTGAAGAAGGTGCTAGGCACCGAATAATTCGAAGGAAGGATCAGAAACAATAAAGAAATTTTTGCGAGAACTTTTGGATTCTTTTGGACCTTTTGAGGTTTTTTGCAATAAAATTTTTGGCGCCTCTTTATGTGTTTCTATCCAGACCCACAGATCGTTTAGTTGGCAGCTTATTTTTCCGAGTGAACCAACTATTTGTCTCCAATTCTAGCTGGCCCTGAGAACTCATTATGTAGTCTGCTTCCTCATTCAAATTTCTACGTTAGAGCCTGACTGAGCAATGCACCTCACAGCGATTGGCTATCACCAGGCGCATCAACGTTTCCACGTTTTTTCCTCACAATTTTATCTCTGTCACCATTGAAAGATAGCTTATCGAAGAAAGAGTAATGTAGGAATCAAGAAAGCGATCAGATTTAACGCCGCGCCCCACAACTATTTTAGCAGAAGACTCATTCTGCACAATAGTAGTGACGGCTGCTTTTTACTGCGATTACTCTCTTCGATCTAGAACGTCCCGGGCCGCCATGCTGTCCTCAATTGAAATCAGTCCTATGCCTCAGAAATCATCCCTATGCTTCTCTTCTTTGATTTGTCTCCTGGCTATCTATTAGATGAGAGCCCATTGGAGCCATTTAATTGTTCCTGTTTCCAAACCAGATCGCCATCAATTGCACCGTTCCAGTTTCTCCATTTCATCTCAAATGCTCTCTAGTGTAGAAGCCGAGAAGCCCTGTTGACTGTTTTCGGTTCAGAGGGGCATTTCCCATCTCAGCTGCTCAATTTATGGTTCGTGTTAACCACTAAGTCTCACTTTTGTCAATCCTATGAAGTCCTGGCAAGCTGCGAACTTGTTTCACTAGGCCGCTTTTGTCTCATACGGTGGCCTGCGCAGCCTTAGTTGAGTACCACCAAGCCGAACTGCGCAAGTTCAGTCGCTTTTCACTTCGGTAACCTTCGCTACTTTGTTCATTTTCTCTCAATTCTCTCTCCGTTCTTTGGTTGCAACATTGCAGTTGCATTATATGTAGATCATTTCCTGAAACCATGGAAAAACCTGAAACTAACGATTCACAGCGCCATTCTACCTCTAGAACCGAAAGATTCGGAAGATGCGGAAGTAGTCTCGACCTTTTGTTTTCACAAAATTCCGCACCGACAGTGATTTAATGGGTCCGAGCAGAACTCTGAATGCTAGTTGTCTTATCAATGGCGAGTGAGCAAGAGAACCCGCTGAAACTGACGCAAACATTTAGCAGATTTACAGCACCTGAATAGCGCCACTGGAATAGAGACGCAGAGACGCTCCAACTAGTGAACGCGATGCCGGACATCTGTGGTTAGGAGAGTATGCAGAGGGGCAAGCGATGAAGTTGGATACATAGGTTGAGAGGTACTGGAGAGGACGTGACTCAATTGATGAGGCTCTGACCTTCTTAACGCCGCGCTTTCGAGAATCTAAAGTGGTACATTTTAGCGTGTTCATAGCATTTCCGCGGTTTCGCCATCTCTCAAAAGTCGTGGTGTATGAACATGGCCTGTTCAGTGCCTAGAACTTGTCTATCGTTAACGAGGAGAACATGGCGCAGTTTGTCGACGGGGGGGGGCATCCTGCTTTCCATAGATGTGCCGACCCATCTAGGTAGCCTTTTCTCGAGTTGCGATCTTGCTCCAGCTTCACAAGCGTTCACAAGTTTTACCAGAGTGAGATTTGTAAACCGGAACTAGGGAAGCAATGGTAGTACAAAATGCCCCCCCCCGTCGACAAACAGCGCCGG